CCTATAGCGGCGCGGTACAATGCGCTTAGTCTTAAGACCGCGCCAAATCATGGCGACGGAGGCTAGAAGACACCGTACACCTTCCTTTGGTTGTACGTACCTTTAAAACGGGTCACTAAGGGTCCGCTGAAGAGCAGCAGCAACTTCCTCTCTTGAGAACCATCGTGCTGATTCCAATTCTCCGGGACAAGCATCGATCTGAAATGAGTTTTCCTAAAGACAATAACCTTACGTGGAATATAAACAAAATCTTTGTTTATATACCATTTTCACTTCAAATTCACCACTTTTCAAACCAAATTCACCACTTTTCAAACAAATTCACCACTCTTTTTAGACCGGGCAGTTCACCAACCAGATCACGCCAGACACCACTGCGAGCCCCGCCCCGACGGTCACGCCTACTTGTCAGCGCGGACATAGATTTTCAACACATCGACACATGGCCGACTCCGCCCATTCTTCGAAGGGTTTGTTGCGAACTTCAACTTTTTCAACTTTTTGAATTTCACATCCACTCTTTGCACAACGAAGACACTCGTACCCGCGCATTTATGCACTGGCAACTTAGGCTCCGCCCCCTTGGCCACGCCCACTTGCTTTTTGCGGAATTTTGATATTTTTCAAAATTTTTGCATTTTTGGACTGCTGCTATGAAGCCCCGCCCACTGTGAGAGGCTCCGCCCACTTCGAAGAAGCCCCGCCCACTTTTCAAAAATGGTGCAAATCGGCAGTATAGAGCTTGGCTTGCATGCTAGGGTCTCGTCCGTCACTCGGAACAAATAAATCAGGCAAAGTTTGTGGGAGGAGTCGGCCATGTGTCGATGTGTTGAAAATCTATGTCCGCGCTGACAAGTAGGCGTGACCGTCGGGGCGGGCTCGCAGTGGTGTCTGGCGTGATCTGGTTGGTGAACTGCCCGGTCTAAAAAGAGTGGTGAATTTGATTTGAAAAGTGGTGAATTTAAAGTGAAAATGGTATATATAGAGTTACCTTATGTGACATCTCGGCGACGGCGTAATGAGCACACATCAAAGATGAGTCCGGCATTGGCCATGGCTGAGTTCGGTTCAGAGAAACAACCCCGTAAGCAGGTATGCCCACTTCTTCAGCTATTTCTCGCCGAGCGCATTCTTCTAGAGACTCTCCAGACTAGAACTGTGCCATCTACGCGAAATGTCATTTCCTGGTACTTTTCGAAGTCTTAACCTGAGCGAATCCAGCAATCGCCGTATAAAGACTAGCCGGTGAGGCTTTGTGTCGAATGAGAAGGGCGTACGAATCTGTTGGATCCGAGACCAGTGTTATGGCTACAGGAGAGAACTGCAATAGTACTTGTATCCGAAGAGCCAACTTGTAAGAATCTCATATGTTGAACAATATAACTTTCTCGTCTCACCGTTGGGTAGAAAATCCGTGAACAACTCGGACATCCCGCAGCGGATTTGCTGATGCGCATGCGTAATGGAGAACCACATTTGGGACAGCGACGATATGTGCGTGACCAGCGGCTCAACGATTGAAACTAAAACCTTGGAAATCACCATTTTTAGACGTAAATAATGAGAACAATTAGGAAAAAGGCAGTTTTTTTGTAAAATGACACTGGATGTTGAGAGCTTGTATAAGATCGCCTCGCTTGGATAACTGAGTAATGCAGAAACACGCTTCGCTCTTAAAGTCGGTTCCCACGATAAAGTGTCATGGATAGTTGCTTTTCAATTATGAAACAGTAGCTCAAGTAATTCCCAAGGAAGAAAAAAGCAAGAAGCATCCTCAAGAAAACCATAAAGAAAGTCGCTCCCTGACAGCACACCGCCCTGCGGTCTCTGTGCGCTGGCTCACAAATCGCTTTTTCGCATCTCCCAGTAGTAAATATCATCCAGTGCAAAGAAAGAATACGAAAAACAACAAAAACACCGACGAAATTTTCAAGATAAAAAGAAACTTCGAAAAACTCAGCGTAGGAATTTAGGGTTACGGTAGCGTGCATCTTTCAGTGCGTCGAGCTTTTGCACCAAGAAAATTGCATCACTCGTGATTTTTACGCGTTTTACCTTGCGAGATGGGTTGCAGTTGACTGTATGTGCTCCTAATGAATAAAATGTAATAAAGGAGAGCAGAATTATTTATGGGCACGAGCGCGGTCAGCAAAAAGGACATGCAATTCCGATTAATGCCCGCCGCCCCAACAAAGAACAGCTGAGCGGCCTTGCGTCAGAGGTAT